GTCAGCGCGAATCGCCTTCACAAGCAAGTCTTGTTGCCGCTCCACCATCGACAACGAATCGGTCTTCACCGTTTCAGCTACGTCACTCTTCTTGCGAAGCACATACACCGAAGTCATGCGAGTGTAGAAATCCACTATATGGTGGAAGTTCTCTGCTCCAGCAGCTTCAAGCTTCAAGGGGCCCACCACATCCATCACCACCTCATCAAATGGTGCCTTCGTCGTTTTCTCCAAGCTATGGGGCGGGTAGCAGGTGAACTTGGCTTGCATGCATGTTGGACAGCCACACACCTCATTGGGCTCTCCCTTGACACATATCCCACTGACAATCTCTTACTTACCTATCTGCTGCAAAATGGGCAATGCCACATGGTCCATGCGTTGATGCAAGGTCAGCTAATCACACTCTCCCATAGCGGAAGTTGGGTTGGAGAAAGCGGCACTCACCATTGTGTCCCAGAAGCTCTCTCTTTTCTCCTTCTTTGCTGCTTCTTTGCTGATCTTATCCTTCTCCTCCTCATTTCCACCATCTTTGGCTATTGCACCACTCTCCTTGCGTCCACACACCTTGCTGGTCCCTCCAATATTGCACTCCTTCAAGTCCGCACGAGGTGTCATGCGGCGCCGCTATCGATCACCCAAAAGCCCAGAGAGTGAAGGGTGACCTTTCCCACAGTAGCTGCCTCCTCAAAGCCTTCCACACCTCTTGCCCTAACTGTCGCTTGCGTCGAGATAAAGAAGAATTGGCCCGGGTATCGATCTTCACTCGAGTCCATCTCGTAGTCTCCACCATTCATGCTTGCTGCTTCGCTTTGACCACCACAGCCTCCATGACCTTTGTTTTTGCCTCCCCCTGCTCCTCCCCCAGAAGGGGTCCATCCATCTAGCAATCTGAAGCAATCTCGCCACATGTGGCCAGTCTTGTGGCAATGGTGGCATTCTTCATCAAATCTGTCCAGGGGGTAGAAGATAGCCCTGTGCGCTCTTCCGCACCCATGGGCTCTTCTCCGGGTCGTTCTCGGGGCGCTTCTCCGTTCCTTGTATCACCTCCAGCAGATCATAGTGGTCAAAGATGTTCTCCATCTTGAAGGACCACTCAGCAAAGTTGTCACTGTTGAACTTGTCAACGCCAAACACTCTACGCTCATCCCTAGAGGGGCTAAGGCTAGGTTGCACGGGAGCAACGGGTGGATCTTGGTGTTGACCTTGTGTTTAGGCATCTTCTCTGCCTCCAGCACCTCTGCCACACCCTTCCTCAGGTCTAGGCATGGTCGATATGGCTCCAAGGGGCACTTATACCACTTGTGATAATCAAAATAGGCTTAGATGTGCCTAAAGTGACAGATAGAGTGCACTGTCGGGTTTCCGTAAGACGGCTTCAATTATTGATACCGTTCCGATCTGTAAATTAGATCTGAAGCGTCTTGATATCATCTATCAGCAGCAAGTTGAATCATGTAATTTCATAAAGATTTGACGATGCTATGGCGGTTTGACTGGCAGGAGGTATAGCAGCCACTATAGTCTTAGAAGAACAAAATTAGCAAGAATTGAGATTGAGATGGTTCCCAGCCTATACAAACCCCAAGAGCTGAGGTCTAGGTTTGTGGTACACCACCACAGAGTCCTCAATCACGAGGAGACCCGAAACAAACCCAACAAGGGCCTGCACCAAGTGAAATGTAACACTACTTGAATTAGCATTACTATTTTCACAATTTTAATATTTATCTATGTCCTTCGGGCTTAAAATCTTGAGCTCTTGGTCTTGATTCTGCAAGATCAATTCTTCTTGAGTTGATGAGGGCTTACAAACACATGCGATGCGATGGACACTTTACACTCGACAAAATAGAAAAACACATGCGACGCGCAAACGACGACTTGACACGCGACTTGTGAAAACTCGCTAATGTCTTGACCGACACAATCCACATTGTGATACACCATTCAAACACACACACAGGCACTAGATAGCAATAACATAGACTCACAAGTCATTCCATGCCATGCATGCACACACACGAACAAGGACGACAAGCCGAGGGCAAGCCATAGGGTTGTACTAAGAATTATTAGTGTACCTACTGGGTGTTACGATAAGGAAATTGTTCTATTCCTGAAAGTGACACTTGAGCTTAACCCTTGTCGAGTCCAAGCCTATAACACGATGTACGAAGTACAACGGTCATTGACCGTTGACTGTCAGTCGAACCGATAGAAGTCCAAGGGCCCGTCACGACAGCAAGGACACATAATTGACCCCGTAATAGAGCGCAGGTAGTTACCCGAGTCGTATACGGTTACCGGAGTCGGATCTGGAACCACACAGAAATGTACCCCTGTTGAGTGCATCTTAGTTAGACCCTTCGCTTTCTCTTGTATCACTATATAAACCTTGTATCCCTTTGCTATAATCAACACTGTCATATTACATTCACTCTGGCAGAGTTCCTTGATCAATCAATCGCTTCCGCAAAACGCACTACTGTAGTTCAATCCTGGAGATTCTATGGACTACAATACATTAGATCGCTTCATGGTAAGCAAAGCCTATCAGGATCACGAGGGTAAGGAAGCCCTCCTCCCAAAGCACCTGCAAACACTCCGAATTCCGCAGAAACCACGTCCGTCCCCACATCACTCCTAAAAAAATTGCTCCAACGAATGTCAACTCCTGAAGAGGGACTTCAATCTCTCAAGATCGATGGCTCGAGCATTGCTCGCCACACCACTGAAACGCAACCAGCCTCTGTAGACAAAGATTCCACTCCTGGCTTCTTCAACTTCGACGCTTCCAACATGCAGCCACCTGCAAGCATACGATTAAGTGACGAAGCAATGCAAACAACACACTCGAAGTTCTTCACTGTTTCTAAGATCAAAATAAGCTCGAGTTTGAGCTACTATTGCAGAGCGCTAAAATCTTATGCTATTTCCTCGGATCTTACCCTAGATCGACGATCGACACCGAAGACGCAAAACAATGATATTATGACGAATCACTCATGGCGTAAGTAAACTTCTATAGAACATAACCACTTCCGAGCAACTCGGAATTCGATCGTTCAAAACCCGCGCCGCTCTAGCACGAGACTCCTGGCTGTACCTGACGATACTCTCTATCAGCCAAAGGACTCTGAGTCGTCGAGTTGACTGCTCGGCCAGCTACTAGAAGTGAAGATTGTCTCAGGAGAGAAGGCCAATACTTACATCAATCGCTGCCAAAGCATCCGCAACTAGATCGTCAAGCTCGGGAACACAATCACTGAAGATATGTTTGTGACGATTGTGCTCGCTGGACTTAGCCCTGAATGGCAATCGTGCAAGGCACTACTATGCCAGCAAGGCAAAATTTCTGAAGCGATTCTTTGCGTGACACTGCTGGCTAAGCAGCAAGATATGGATCTCTACAAGGAGGCTTGCCTTCTACTCAGGCACCGCAAACCTCTACTGAGCACTGCCAAAACTGAGTGAGAAGCAGCGCAAGACCATCCCCCATGCCTCTCAAGTGGAAGTCAATAAGGTCACTCCCACCAGAGGAGACTCATCGACACTCCCCCCCAGGACCCGCACCAGACCAATCGCCCATCCCACATAGACCAGCGACCAGTCCCGCGCCCTCCTGCATCCTCGGACCCTCGTCCGACTCAGCCAGGCTCACATGATTAACCTATCCATCGTCATGTCTTCATGGCAATGAGAGCTCGGGGTCCCAAACGTCGAGCGGATCGACGTTGCCGCACGCCACAGCCGCGCCCAAGTCAAGGGGACTTTGAACTGGCTATATCGGCCTAGAACGACAACAACCCCTAGAACGAGCATGGCAGCTACGAGACTGATGAAGAAGAGCTGGATTGAAACCTTCCCATTCCCCTACTTGAGCCGACCCCTTACATCACTGACATGACATCCGGAGGCGACGGGCAATACTGGGACGACTTCCCAAGGGACCATCATATGCACAAGTCAAACAAGCCCTACCTACTGACTCCAAGGATCGCGATGATCGCTCGCAACAACCGCGACAACTACAATACCTGGTACCTAGACAGTTGTTGCGGACAGCACATGGTCGGCTTTGCATGCTTCATCCAATGCCGTACCCAACCCCGCCGCAGCCTATATAAATGTAGCAAATAATGAATGGCTGGTGGCAAGGAACCAGAGAATAGTCATCCTACATGCACAACACCCTGACGCACATCACCTTGAACGACGTGCTCATCGTTCAGAACCTGGGCTACAACCTACTCTCAACGGCATCGCTGATGTCTTGCGGTGTTGAGATTAGCACCAAATCTCAGACATGGGACCTCTTGCTACACTACCGCAAGCCACATCAGCCCAACAAAGAGCCGAATCCACTACAGTACATCGGCAGGGCAGCAGCAGTCGACGAAATCTACGTTCTAGACTTCGACATCCCCAACTGCAATGACGACCGCCATGAGCTAATCGACCTTGTCCCTCTCAACTTCTCTTACCAAGAAGAGGAGTGGAAACACCCCGACGGCCGCCCGTGGGTCACTCACCACGTGCACCCATCTGAGTCGGATTTGCATGACCCTGGACCAGACGGCATCTGCCGCATCTGTCGAAACCTGACAGCCTCTTCCAGCAATATCGCTGGAACGGGACTCAAAACTCTTGAGGAAGACGAGATAGAGTCCCTTCTCACTCCAGAGGTAGGCATGACAACCTCAGAACTTGCTGCAGCCGTCATCATCGTCCCTCCTTGAGGAACCACGGATCCATCCCACAACTCAAGGCAACGCTTGTAAAGCATTCTAGCGTACGCGGGGTCTGGCTCCTTTGATGAAACTGGACGACCAATCCCATGGTAGCTCAACACTCACATGGCCTTCAATTCCAACTGGAGAGAGCCCATGCCATGGGAAGCAGTGCACCTGGCTACGAAACTTGCATCCGACATGGATGTCTGGGCAAGCTCTCTCAGAACCATCGCTGTTCGACATGAACCTACTGTACCTCTCCAGAAGCAACAGAAGCATTAGGAGCAACCATGGTGGCAGCATCAGCCGCACAAGAAGCAGTAGTATCAGTAGCAAGAGCAGAGGTAGCAGAGGCAGCAGCAAAAGAGGTAGCAGTGGCAGCAGCAGCAGCAGCAGCCAATGGAACACAGGGAGCAACAGAATGAGCACCAGAAGGGACAGCGGCAGCAGAACCGAAACCCCCACACCCCGAACGCAGAGTCGAGATAAGTGCACCACCTTTCCGAGCTCTGAGCAGCTGGAGGCCCTCTCCAAGTAGAGGCACCTGGGGAGGAGTATCAGCTGAAGTCACCGAGTGGGACACTACCCTAGATACCAACCCCCCCCCCCCCCCCCCCCCCCCCCCCTACAACCTTGGCCCAATGCACCAACCCCTGAAGGATGGGGCAGAGGCCCGAGGCTACATTGGTTTCGTAACCCATCTACATGACGATGGTGTCTAAACCTCGAGGAATGGTACAGCGGAGGAGATGATGAGGATGACGAAGGCGAAAGGGGGAGAGTCGCACCAGATGTGTATCTTCACCTTGGTTGCCCTCCTCAAGCCCTTGGAACTTGGGAAGAGTATAATGAAACCTTTGATGGAGTAAACACTCTACTCTGGAGAATCTACCACGGATCTCCACCACCCGAACCTCACAGCCCCTCTCCCACTGTCACCGACTCCAAGAGACCGAAACCATCGAAGGTTCGCCACCACTCCAAGAGATTGAAATCATCGAAGGTCCACCACCGTCTCACCTCCGTCGCGCGAAAACAGATCCTGAAGAGCTAGACAAGAGCGCAGCTGGACCAAACGGTTCTCCTCAAGATCGAGAAGTCACAGCGGACCTCATAGACCGTGAGTTTCTTGCTCTTGCCATCACAGCCCCTGCGTTTGCAGACACACCTCTAGCTCCCTCCTCTTGACAATTCCCGCCAGCGCTACTAACGCACTCGAGGACTTCGCGCCTCCACGGACATCTGGCACCAGCGGCTTGGCCACCCCTCCAGAGTCACCCTCAACAACTCGCTCAAGGCCAACATCTTTGCCCCTAGAGCACTCCTAGACTCTGACGGGCATGAGCTTCAAGAAAGCCAAGCCCCTCGCACCTGCACAGTCTGCCCCAAAGCTACCCTCACACACAACCCATTCCTAGACCTTCCTCACTGTCCCAACCGTTACACACCACTGGACAAAGTCTACAGTGACTACCTCGTCCTCACACAAGCAGGACTCCATAGGGAGCAGTACACACTGACCTTCATCAACGCTGCCACCCGCTACGTCTGGGGAGACAATGTCCAGAACAGAGGGGGAGTACTCAACATCTTCTGACCTTGGCTTACTCTCGCTGAGCGCCAGTCTGGAAAGAAACAGAAGTACTGGCCGACGGATGGAGCTCGGGAATTCCGAAGTGAGGAGCTACAGACTCATCTCCAAGAACTTGGAATCAAGCACAAGCTCTCCCTTCCCTACGCTCACCCGTAGCAAGGCGTCACTGAACGGACCAACCGAACTCTACAGACCAAAGTACAGGCCATGATGCTCCAGTCTGCAGTGCCCACAGAATACTCACTCTATGCAATGCACCACACAGTCCGACTGCACAACCTTATGTCCACCACCACCAATGATGGGAACCTCTCCCCCTACATGGTCTGGACAGAAAAGCCAGCTGGCACCATCATGCTGCAAGTCTTGGGCTGCATGCTCCAGTACCACCCTCATCAGGCCACCACCAGCAAGTTCAAAAGGCGAGCTCGCTGGGGGGTGCACCTTGGCATCTCTCACGAGTGCCAGGCATGGACAACCTTGGACTTGGAGAACTCCACCATTGTGCCCTCCAGGGACGTCTTCTTGTACGAAGGACTCACCATAAAGCAATTCCATTGCCACGATTGCCAAGCAGCCTACGCGCAAAGCAATTCCATTGCCACGTTTACTCCATCATGATTGCCACACTAATCGCCAAGCAGCCTACGCGTGAGGAGAGCGCAACTTCGCCTCTACAGAAGACGAAACCGAAGCTGCCCGCCTAGACGAGGACGAGCACCCCAGGGAGAACCCTCGCTTCGACGATGATGATGACGCGGACGATGCCCCTCTCGATCCCTCACGTGGCACTCTGCGTTGCGACAGCACCATTAGCACCCTTGCGGACAACAGCGCCCCGACTCGGACGACGACGTGCAAGAGGTCACTGGCAACGGGCACCGCAACCTTAGGTTCTCCGGCCTCCACATTCTCGGCCTTCGTGAAGCAGTTCACAAGAACCTCTCTGTGATCAAGCCTGAGACACCACGACAGGCTCTCACCGGACCTCATCGCGCCGAATGGGGCAAGGCCATGGACGTGGAAATCGCTGCATTGCGCTCCCGTGACACCTGGGTCCTTGTCAACCGCGCAGCAGCAAAGGGGAGGAAGATACTCTCTGGAAAGTGGGTCTACCACGTCAAAACGGACGCCCAAGGGAACGTCGAGCGGTGTAAGGCCCGATGGGAGGTACGAGGCTATGACCAATGCCACGACATCGACTCCAACCTCACCTTTGCACCTGTTAGCCGTCACACATCCGTGCGCATCCTGCTCGCCATCGCAGCATGCCGACACCTCGAGCTCCGACAAATCGATGTAAAAAATGTGTTTCTATACCCAAAGGTTGACACTCTGATCTTCGTTGAGCAACCTCACACCTACGGTGACGACGATCCACGCGTCTGCCAGCTGCAAGAATCCCTCTATAGGATTAAGCAGGCACCCCGCCTTTGGCAGCAGCATCTCCACAGAATCCTACTGGAGATTGGGTTCCTCCAGCTACCTCACGACCCCGGGATGTACTATCTCCTCTTCCGTGGAGACTACATCCTCCCCACTGTCTACGTCGATGACCTGCTCTACACCGACACCAACATTTCATTGGGCTCAACATTTCCTACATGCCAGAGGCCATCCACCTCTTTGCGTCGAAGTATGCCGAGACTCTTGCGAAAAAAATTAACCTAATGCCGACACCGCTATCCGCACCCTAGTGCACTCCCGCCACCGGCTACAAGGTCGACACCAAGACACTCGCTCCTACCGCTCACCAACTCTATCAGCAGCAGCTTCGATGCCTACTGTTTGCCGCTGTCATTTGCCGGCCCGACCTTTCCTACATCGCCAGCTAGCTCGCCCAGTACTCTCGGCTACCTGAAGGGGAGAACCTCCTAGATCTACAGCAAGCTTTCCTCTATTTCATTTCGGCTCCACAAATCGGCCTCACCTACTCCACTTACTGGACCCATCTCTTCGAACTCGCAGAAACAGGAGATGGTTGCCCTCTCCTTAGCTGAAGTAGAGTACATCGCAACAACCTCCGCCGTTTGCGAAAGACACTGCTTTCAAGAATTGCTGCAGGAGTCAAAACTCAGCACTTCGCCAACATTCAAGTTACAGTGCGACAACCACAGTGCAATCAAGATCGCCAAAATGTCTGGCTTCGTCAATCGCAAAAAGCACATCGCGCTGCGATACTTCTTCGTCAAGGACGAAATCGACAAAGGAAAAGTGGACGTGACATATGTTGTGTGATGTCATCATATGCTATCACATTCTGTCTGCCTCCCATCCCATATTTTTTCAACTTGCATGTGTGGTTTGAACGTGTGCAAGAATTTGTGTGTGATGTGTTCTGGAGTTTGGGAATGTGTTTTGTGTTATTTTGTTTGAGCAGGTTTTTTGTGATGATAGATCTTGAGAAGATCTTTCCGACGCAACGAGAAGCCCTTCAATCGGAGCAAGAACGCGAAAGCTATGAAGATGCAAAGTTCATGAGCTTGCGTTACAATTGCGGCGGTGACAAAGTGAAGTTGTGGGGTGACAACATACTGTCCCACTAGTGACATGGGAGTTGACTTCTCCACCAAGAAGCTGCCACGTCAACAGTACCTGCACTACGCCGAGCTCTGTGGAATTTCCAAACGCGCCAAGCTCGAACACCTTTAGCAATGAAGGGGAGTTTTACAATAAGGAAATAAAAGAGGAACGTATACAGAGGGGAGTCTATCCGGGTGACTACGGTATCGAGGATGAAAGGATTGCGGAAATCATGAATAATCGTTTGAGTGAAAATACATGCGAAGCATTTATAGTTAATGTCTAGTGACGTGGCTAAGATATGAGTTTGGAACGTGGCTCAACGAGCGTTGGCTTATTTAGCAGGTGACTCAGCAGTGCTGACGTGGGCTGAGTCGACGAAATATGAAACGAGTGAACAAGGCGGGGCCAATGGCAACGGTACGGCTAGTCCGCACATTAAGGAAAATTGTTTTCCTTACATACTGTAGGTACTGAATGGGGGGGTTGTCTTGGTTCAGTGTTTCCACAATGTACAGCGACTTTTGGTTTTGTATCACTGTCGCCAGTCATGGTTAGATCGGTAAATCGATCTCCCTAAATTCGTGCAAGCTCGCCCTAGCTCAACCTGCGCGTAGCTGAGAGTTGCGAACCCGTCAATCATCGTTGCGAAAGCTCAATTCGCGAGGCAAACGAACAGCCACACCTCGCTATGGACCTGAAGTTTCCAGCCGCACCGGAGGCCGAGAGCATGCGAAGGGAGGCGGAACGCTTGGCATGGGAGTCCAATGCAGGTGCACGTGCCTATATGCAGCAGCAGGCGCGAGAGGCACGTCATGGGAGGCGCCAATTCAACACGCAAAACTTCGAGGGGCACCAAGGAGGGAGAGGGGAGCGAGGTAGCGGCGTGCGAGGGACTGGTTCTCAACAGGGCGGCCATGGAGAAGATCATTCGACAGGCGAGCACCCAACAGCATCAGGTGGGCCGGCATTTGCACCCCTGGCAGAGGAGGGACCGACTGCCACCCGAAACGACGGGCAGCCAGACGAACGAGTGGTGGCTGGGCCGCTCATCATGTTCAACCCACAGCCACCGTCAAGTGGTGCCCATGCATTCGACTTTGCCATGCTCATGCGACGCGTGAACGAGGGGTACACCATTGACGCCATCGACACCAGAGTGGCGCCAAGGGCCAACAGTACTAAACCCTCAATGGGTGAGACAGGGTGGGGTGAAACGGATTGTGTGTACAAATGGATGAGACACGACCTGACCCCAAGAGATTTCGCGAGTGATGGTGGGCGAGAGGGGACTGACGAGAAACCACGCAATGGAATTGGCGGACGACAAGAACTCACGAAACCTTGTTGGGTGTGATTCTCCGTCCATTCCCCAAAATCGTGGGATCGACAGGGACTCACACTTGGGCGAACGAGTTCACTAGTCTGGTTTTGCAGAATTCTATTCACATCTGGCACAGTGTCTTGGATCCCGAGAAAACGTTGTCTTTAAAGCCGTTGACCCAAATTGCAGAAATTTAGTTTCAAGTTTATTCATCTTGAACCCCCACGTTTGGTAACTTTGTTCCCCAAAGCGAGAGCAGGAACCACTGTCGCATGCCACGCGCGTGCGCCACCCCTTGCCGATTCCGCCCCTGCCCCAGACACACAAAGCTTTTGGGCGGAAGGAAACTTGAAACTGCGCGCATACATTTTGGGACTTTCCGTGTGCATAACCCAGCCCAGCGCCACCACGCTGAGGCAGTGTATGCACCACACACAGCTGACCTGCCTTTCACGAAGTGTCCAAGACACAGGACCTCGATTTACTCCAAGTACTTTCCACCTCCGAAAGCCCGCCTCACGACAACAGGCCCCGCCCAGCATAAGCATTCCCGCGACTGCCAAATCGCACCATCAAATCGCACCGTCAAATCACACTGTCTAACCGCACCGTCAAATCGCACCGTCAAATTGCACCGTCAAGTCGCATCGTTTCAAACACCCGCTTTTCCAAGCGATTTCAACCTGCGGGCCAGAAAACAACGTCGCCTAAATCCGCGCTGGTATCAGCCCGGCATCCAGCAGCAAAAACCGAAGGAATCAGCTCGAGCAGTGCGACGAGGGAGTTAGGGTTAGTAAATGGCAAGAAAGGTACCCCTTGCACATGCGGCTTCATTCCCCAAGGCAGCGCGTGAGGGCCGTTGGTCAGTCGCCATGCGCCTTCTCCCTCCCACACACGCATTTCTCGTTTTTTCCGCGCTGTCAGTTCTCATTCTTGCTAGTGCTTTTCAGTCTACCAGATGGTGCCTTTGCATGTGTGAAGCTCGTTACGCAAATCAGATTTCCAGATTGCTCGTTTCGGGTTTACTCCAAGCATCTCCTTCCCCCACTGCCTTCTCTCCCCATCCGCCTCCCTTGTCGCAGGACGTTTGAGGGCCGCAAGTTGTGGCAGCAGCGGGAATCAGAACAGAGGAGTAGAGGAGCAGCGGATCAAGAGAGCATGGGACCACGGGAGCATGGGAGCAGGGGAGCATGGGAGCAGGGGAGCAAGGGAGCATGGGAGCATGGGAGTATGGGAGTAAGGGAGCAGGGGAGCATGGGAGCATGGGAGCAAGGGAGCATGGGAACATGGGAGCATGGGAGCATGGGAGCATGGGAGAATGGGAGCATGGGAGCAGGGGAGCATGGGAGCATGGGAGCATGGGGAGCATGGGGAGCATGGGAGCATGGGAGAATGGGAGCATGGGAGTAGGGGAGCATGGGAGCATGGGGAACATGGGAGCATGGGAGCATTGACAGCATGGAGAGCCCGGGAGAATGGGTAGCATGGGAGCATGGGAGCATGGGAGCAGGGGAGCATGGGAGCATGGGAGCATTGACAGCATGGAGAGACCGAGAGCATGGGGAGCATGGGAGCATGGGATCAGGGGAGCATGGGATCAGGGGAGCATGGGAGCATAGGAGCATGGGAGCATGAGACCATGGGAGCATGGGAGCATGGGGAGAATGGGAGCATGGGAGCATTGACAGCATGGAGAGCCCGAGAGAATGGGGAGCATGGGAGCATGGGAACATGGGAGCAGGGGAGCATGGGAGCATGGGAGCATTGGCAGCATGAAGAGCCCGAGAGCATGGGGAGCATGCTCGCAAGGGAGCATGGGAGCATGGGAGCATGGGAGCATGGGATCAGGGTAGCATGGGGAGCAGGGGATTATGAGACCATGGGAGCAGGGGAGCAGGGGAGCATGGGAGCATGGGAGCAGGGGAGCATGGAAGCAAGGGAGCATGGGAGCAGGGGAGCATGGGAGCACTAGAGCATGAGAGCATGGGAGCATGGGATCAGGGGAGCATGGGAGCATGGGAGCATTGACAGCATGGAGAGCCCGAGAACATGGGGAGCATGCTCGCAAGGGAGCATGGGAGCATGGGAGCATGGGAGCATGGGATCATGTGTGAGGATGTATGTGGGCCAAGCTTTTTTGTGGTGGTCACGTGTTCCTTCTTCGGACTGGACCATATTTCCTTGCTTTTTGCACACTTGTTACAGTGCCAGTACCAACCCATGCATGCCCATGCATCATTCCATGAGATCAAAGTCATGGTGCCGTACATGCCTCATTCAGGCGATGCAATCGCAGGGTGGCAAGCTCTGCGAGCATGTGCTTTGCCTCCATTAGACATATCCAGTTTACCGGGACATCGTTAATGGATGGGCTTGCTGACCATCCCCTGGGAACCGGCACAGCTCTTGCTCGCATAGATGGTTTGGTTGAGCTAGACCTGCAGAACAGGGGCAGGAGAGACATGTTGGCTGAACCTACGGAAAGCACGCTTCTTCTGTCCATGAAGTACAGAAGCCAACCATAATTCTTACGGATCGGACAATCGCGTCGCATCATCAACAGCCCCGCATGTACGGCTGGCAGGGCTAGCTGGCGCCAACATTGCGGGCTGCACTCCCGGGTTGACGGAAGCCCCGGCACAAGGAGGCAAGCTCTGCTCTTTGGGGCCTGCCACCCATGCATAAGTTGGTTTGGATGGGGGTTTGTATTTCCGAGGGTGATCATGTGGTACGACTCGGTTTCCGTCCCCTTCGTTGTGTGGGGGCCTTGTTCACGCACCAGGGAAGCTACCATTGTACCCCTTTGTTGGTCTGCAACCCCTACCCCCGCTCACCTTTTTCACATTGCTTTTCAAACTTCTTCCCTCTTCGGAGCCCGCCCCATCCGCATCCATGCACAGGCCGTAGTTTACCCTTCGTGCCCTCTTCATAGGCACGAAAGTTGTAGGTCAGCCCATTCAACTGGCCGTCCGTCTGCCCCATGATGTTGGTTGCTAAGTCCGGTCCGTGCCCAGCCCTAGTGTCAAACTTGTTGGTGCAACCCTATGGCTTGCACTCGGCTTGTCGTCCTTGTTTGTGTGTGTGCATGCATGGCATGGAATGAATTGTGAGTCTATGTCACTGCTATCTAGTTCTTGTGTGTGTGTTTGAATGGTGTATCACAATGTGGTTTGTGTCGATCAAGACATTAGCGAGTTTTTACAACGCCCATGTCAAGTCGTCGTTTGTGTGTCGCATGTGTTTTTTCTATTTTGTTGAGTGTGAAGTGTCCATCGCGTCGCAGGTGTGTGCAGCAAGCCCCCATCAACTCAAGAAGAATTTATCTTGCAGAACCAAGACCAAGAGCTCAAGATTTCAAGACCAAGGGACACGGATAAATATTAAAATAGTGAAAATAGTAACGCTACTTCGTGTAGTGTTACATTTCACTTGGTGTAGCCCCTTGGAGGGTTTGTTTCGAGACTCTTCATGGTTGGGGACTCTGTGGTGGTGTACCACCAACCAGGATCTTGGCTCTTGGGGTATGTAGAGGCTAGGAACCATCTCCATCTCGAATTCTTCTTGCTAAGTTTGTACTTCCAAGACTAAAGTGGCTGCTGTACCTCCTGCCAGTCAAACCACGATAGCGTCGTCAAATCTTCATGGAATTTTATGATTCAACTTGCTCCTGATAGGCGACAAAAACGCGCTCTAGATCCAATTTACAGATCACCGTTTAAGGCACCGATCAGTTCGGCATCAATATTTGAAGCTGTCGGACGGAATTCTGTCAGTGCACAATTTCTCTTATTTTAGGCACATCTGAGCCTATTGTGATTATAACAAAACTCCTTTCCATATGCCTCTAGGTGCTGCTCCGCCTTGGCTCGAGGATCACCTCCATGCACACCTAGGTGGATCAACGGGCACACACAATGGGCAGTGGATGGGATTTCGGGGGGGCATGGATGCACAAGCTTGGCTGGCAAACGCGCATGAAAGGGCATCCCCTGCTTACCTACCTTGGAGCCTGCACGCATTAGCCGCTGGTGCGCCTTCTCGGAGTTCATCATATAGTAGTAGAGCAGGTCCGCCATTGTCGCCCTCTTTGCCCCCCGCATGAGCGCCGACATTTCGCCCAGCTGGAGACAAACAGCTGGCCTCACGTTCATAGAAACACCGTGTATGGCCTAGTCATGTGTTTGGTCCAATGCTGCTGCTGGATGGTCCTTGTTTGGGTCCGCTGGAGCCCGGCCCCTGTTGGGTGGTGGTTGGGGCTTGGAGGTTAAGCGTGGCAGGTTTGGGGGTAGGTGCTGAAAGGGGTGACATGGGGTGGCTTTGTTGGGAACACATCTGTCCCACCTCACCTCTCAGCTTCCCCCCTGACTCACCTCCCTGCTGCCCATTGCAACGCCTCTCATTTTCTACCCTGACACTCCTCCCTGCTGCCCGTTGTGTCGCCTCTCAACTTCCCCCCTCACTCACCTCCCTGCTGCCCATTGTGTCGCCTCTCAGCTTCCCCCCTGACTCACCTCCCTGCTGCCCATTGTGTCGCCTCTCAGTTTCCCCCCTGACCCACCTCCCAGCTGCCCATTGTGTCGCCTCTCCTCTCTGCTCTCCCCTACCTCTCCTCTCTGCTCTCCACTTCCGCTCTTCTTGGCTCTCCCCTTCTTCTCCTCTCGACTCTCCCCTTCCTCTCCTCTCAGCTCCCCCCCTCCTCTCCTCTCATCTCGGCTCTCCCTTTCCTCTCCTCTCTGCTCTCCCCCTACTCTCCTCTTGGCTCTCCCCTACCCCTCCTCTAAGCTCTCCCCTTCCTCTCATCTCTGCACCTCCCTTCCTCCCCTCTCGGCTTTCCCCTTCCTCACTTCTCGGCTCTCCCCTTCCTCTCCTCTCGGCTCTCCCCTTCCTCTCTTCACGGCTCTCCCCTTTCTCTCCGCCCCAGCTCTCCCCTGCATCTCCTCTCAGCTCTCACCTGCCTGTCCTCTCGTCTCCCCCCTTCCTCTCCTCTTGGCTCTCCCTATCCTCTCCCCTCGGCTCCCCCGTTCCTCTCCTCTCTTATCGGCTCTCACCTTCCTCTCTTCTCGGCTCTCCCCTTCCTCTCCTCTCTGCTCTCCCCTTCCTCCCCTTTCTCTCCTCTCGACTCTCCCCTTCCTCTCCTCTCTCCTCTCCTACCGTTTTGTTCTTTGGACTTTGTTGTATGGTACTGTGGCGTCACGACGCCCGGCTTGCTCTGGCATTGGGGCCCAACATGTGCGTCGCTTAACAACGCGCGCATGTGTGGTTCCCGCCGTGCTAGTATCCGCTCTCCCTCGGTGCGCGTCTCGCCTTTCTCTTTTTTTTTTTTGTTTTTTTTTAAATTTCTTTCTTTTTTTATCCTCCTTTCGTGCGCTACCCCTGCCCCTTTTTGCGCGTGCTGCTAGAGCACCCCGGGACTATACGCTCACCAATCGCCTGCCTGTTTTTGTCGCTTGCAGGCCATGAGCTGTATGGCCTGCAATGCATGCTGTCCACGTGGACTCGCGTCGCGCTGCCCTCCCGCAGCCTTTTCCGCGGCTGTCGAGTTTATTACGCGCTCCGGTAATGTCATCTATCGTTGGTTGCCGCTAATCTTGGTTTCTACTGCTGTCTAATGCCCTTAGTTGTGGATACCATTCCTGTTGTCTGCTGCAGTATTGCGTGGTGGTATTGTGCACTCAGCTTGGGTCACCTTGCCTTGTGTCGATTCCCTTCTACCAGTGCAAGTGTTGCTGTTCTCAGGTCGTGTCCCGCGAATGCATTTTCCGCCAGTACGAGGGAGGGTACATTGCGACACAAAAATGTGACGCTGTACCCAAAAGTGCAAATGTGCAGGATTTATTTCCCAAATCACAGCTGTGTCCCGACTTCCGCTACGGGAGAGTGTGATTGGCTGACCATGCATCATTGAATGGGGCATGTGGCATTGCCCATTTTGCAGCAGATTGTTAAGCAAGAGATGGTCAGTGGGATACGTGTCAAGGGGGAGCCCAATGAGGTGCCTGGCTGTCCAACATGCATGCAAGCCAAGTTCACCCGCTATCCGTTCCATAGCTCGGAGACAACGCGAAGGCACCACTTGATGAGGTGGTGATGGATGTGGTGGGCCCCTTGAAGCTTGGAGCTGCTGGAGCAGAGTACTTCCTCACCATTGTGGACGTCTACACTCGCATGACTTGGGTGTATGTGCTGCCCAAGAAGAGTGACGTAGCTGAAACGGTGAAGACCGATTGGTTGCCGATGGTGGAGCGGCAACAAGACCGACTTGTGAAGGCGATTCGCACTGACCGTGGCGGAGAGTTCCTGAGCAAGGATTTCTCAACTTGGCTGAAGAAGCAGGGCATAAGGCACTCTCTTACCATGCCCTACTCTCCTGCAATGAACGGCACCGCCGAGCGTGCGAATCGGACACTCACGGAGACGGCTCGGGGACTTCTCATTGAAGCCGGTCTTCCCAATTATTTTTGGCTGGATGCGGTGCGGCATGCTTGTGTGGCCAAGAACAGAGCCTTGACTCACGTGGGAGAAGACAAATGGGTGCCCTATGTGGAGTGGATTGGAAGGAAGCCGAAGGTGGATATGCTTCGGGTGTTCAGGTGCATGTGCATGGCACTTGTGCCTAAGAAACTTCGGCACAACAAGCTTGATCCCAAGGCAACATGGGCCGTGCATCTGGGCACGGCTCAAAACAGCAAGAGATGGCTTCTTTGGGACCCATTTACCAAGAAGTTCTTGGTGAGCAGAGATTGCAAGTTCATGGAGAATGTACCGTACAAGGAATGGAAGGCGGAGAATCAAGCGAAGATTGGTGTGCGGCTTGGAGAGGTGAAGAGTACCGGCTTGGAGCATGTGGAGCTGCCCTTGGAGCTGAGTAGCAGCAGCACAATCACGAGGCAATCTCCTCAAATGAATGGGGATGAGGAGGAGGAGGAGGTGCAGCAAGGTAATGAGCGTGCACCGCCACTTCCGCCTCGTGCTACAAGTGCTCGTGGGAACCGACCAGATTTACCGCAACGCCATGAGAGCATTCAAGTCCCTGCAGCAGAGGAGGAAGGAAGGGGGAGAAAGAGGACTCAGCCCCCTAATAGGTTGAGCTATGACCGGCTTGGAGGACCAGCCAACTCAACCTTGACCGGTTCGGCTCTCATGCTAGGCGATGATGCGGAAGATGAAAGCGAGGAGTGCGCCTTTGCCTTCTTCTCTCCGGTGGAGATGCCGGGGGAGCCTACAAATCCCAAGGAGGCTTGGGAGGGCCCCAATGGGAAGGAGTGGAAGAAGGCCTCAGATGAAGAAATGGGGAGCATCATCGAGAACGACACCTTTGACTTGGTGAACCTACCTCCGGGGCGGAAGGCGATCTCTTCCAAGTGGCTCTTCAAGCGCAAGACCGACGCCGACGGCAACATCGAGCGCTACAAGAGCAGATTTGTAGCCAAGGAATATCAGCAGCAAGAGAAGAAGGACTACAATGAAGTGTATGCCCCTATGGTGAAGGGTACAACCCTTCGAACCCTCTTCGCCGCGGCGGCCATCAAAGGATGGGTGGTGAAGCAAATGGATATAGTAACGGCCTTCCTCAACGGCGTTTTGGAGGAAGAGACCTTCATGGAGCAGCCAGAGGGGTACAATGATGGGAGTGGCAGAGTGTGGAAGCTGAAGAAAGCACTCTATGGCCTCAAGCAAGCCCCTAAGCAATGGTACATCAAGCTGCAGGAAGTCTTGGAGGCGATCAGCTTCACTCCCACAACGGCCGATCAATCCTTGCTCATGCTTGGCGAGGGGGAGCAGAGGAGCTTCATGGTGGTTTATGTGGATGATATCCTCATATTCTCACCCTCCTCTGATCTTGTGAAGGATGTGATGCTGAAGCTTCAAGACAAGTTCAAGTGCAAGACCCTTGGTGACGTCAACTACTACCTTGGGCTTCACATTGAGCGAGATGTGGAAAAGCGGTGGATGCGAGTGCATCAAAAGAAGTACTTGGAGGCCTTGGCTGCAAAATTTGGGAAGAGTGAAGGTCATGTGGCTACTCCTCTTCCCTCAGGGTTCAAGTGTGTGAAAGGACCAGCGGAGGAAAGTGTTGGTGACGAGGAGAGGCGGCGTTTTCACTCCTTGGTGGGCAGCCTCATGTATGCGGCCGTTCACACAAGGCCGGATGCAGCCTTTGCTACCGGGCAGCTGGCTAGGGTTGTCCAATGCCCTAATGAAGAGCAGGTAGCAGCTGGAGAGAGAGTGGCCAAGTACCTTGGCCAAACAGCAACCGTTGGACTGCAATACTCCGCGGCAGCACAAAGGCGTCAAAAGGGTGCGGATGGAGTCGAACCCGGGAGGCTCTTTCTCACCGCGTTCTCTGATGCATCTTGGGCATCAGAACCAGAGGACATGACAAGTGTGGGAGGCTTCATCTGCTGTGTTGGTGGAGGCCCAACAGCTTGGGAGAGCAAGAAGCAAGTGGACCAAGCATTGAGCTCGGTGGAGTCCGAGTACATGGCACTCTTCCGTACCATAAGGGAGGTTGTGTGGCAGTGCTGTTTGCTAGCTGAACTGGGGAAGGAGCAGCAAGGACCTACCCCACTCTATTGTGATAGCCAGGGTGCTATTGCATTGGCTAAGAACCCGGTTCTTCATGGCCTTACCAAGCACATGAATGTGAAGTGGCATTGGGTGAGGAGCATGGTAACCGCGGGTGAAGTTGACTTGCACTACGTGAAGACAACGGCACAGCCAGCTGATATGATGACCAAGCGGCTGGTCGAGCAGCAGCATTGGAAGTGTTGCAAGCTTGCTGGGATGGCTCTGAACTAAGGGGAGCTGATTCTAAGGCCAACAATCCGAGGGGGAGTTTGTTGGTGCAACCCTGTGGCTTGCACTCGGCTTGTTGTCCTTGTTTGTGTGTGTGCATGCATGGCATGGAATGAATTGTGAGTCTATGTCATTGCTATCTAGTGCTTGTGTGTGTGTTTGAATGGTGTATCACAATGTGGTTTGTGTCGGTCAAGACATTAGCGAGTTTTTACAACTCGCATGTCAAGTCGTCGTTTGCGTATCGCATGTGTTATTAATATTTTGTCGAGTGTGAAGTGTCCATCGCGTCGCAGGTGTGTGCAGCAAGCCCCCTTCAACTCAAGAAGAAATTATCTTGCAGAACCAAGACCAAGAGCTCAAGATTTCAAGCCCAAGGGACGCGGATAAATATTAAATAGTGGAAATAGTAACGCTACTTCGTCTAGTGTTACATTTCACTTGGTGTAGCCCCTTGGAGGGTTGGTTTCGAGACTCTTCATGGTTGGGGACCCTGTGGTGGTGTACCACCAACCTGGACCTCGGCTCTTGGGGTATGTAGAGGCTGGGAACCATCTCCCTCTCGAATTCTTCTTTCTAAGTTATTTTGTACTCCTAAGACTATAGTGGCTGCTGTACCTCCTGCCAGTCAAACCGCCATAGCGTCGTCAAATCTTCATGGAATTTCATGATTCAACTTGCTGCTGATAGACGACAGCAACGCGCTCCAGATCCAACTTACAGATAACCGTTTAATTCAGCGACCAGATCGTTATGAATATTTGAAGCTGTCTGACGGAAATCCGACTGTGCTCTCTATCTCTCATTATAGGCACATCTAAGCCTATTGTGATTATAACAGTCGCGAGGCGCAACTGCGAGCAGAGTGAGCAGCTGCGGGCAGGTGGTCTTCGTCGTCATCACTGCGCAAAGGTCCTGGTCGTTAGCTTCGCCCTGTCTGTGCCGCCATTTGTAACCCATCCGCTTCAGTGCTTTCTGCACCCACCCCACGCTAGCTTTAAATCCGACTGGCACGCCGGCGTTTGGTGCCATAATCCGGGCACGTTGTTGGATGACGCGGATGGTGATGGGCAGCCCACCCTTTGCCGCCCGGCCCAACCATGACTTCAGGCGCTGCTCAAGTAGTGGGTAGAACACGGAACGCAGACGTCGATTGGCAGAGCTCTTAGGCCCAAGAGCCTTCCACTTGGCCACCTCTTTCAGAATTTTCCCCACGGTGCTGGGGCCGGGATGGATACCGTATCTGGTGAAACACCACCTGGCGAGGTTGCCGAGTCGAAGGTGAGCATGAGTTTCAGCATGTCGGCAGATTCCGACCTTCATAGCCATCGTCAGCGCTGTCCTTCTAAGTAACCTCATTGTGACCAGCCGGTTGAGCTCGGCGATGAAGTTGGGTTGGTGAGTCGAAGCTGATCTGGCAGACTGTAAATACGACCTCTGTCGGCCTCATCTTTCGAGGGGGTACGTAGGCATGCCTCTGTTGGCGCGCATGCAAAGGTGCCACGTGGACAGGGGTACTAGCGGGCAGTTTGTGATTTTGTGTTCGCCCCCACGTTCGATCGTGATTACGTAGCATCGCCCTGGCAAGCACGTATTGGCTGGGCACAATACAACACAATTCATGGGGATTTTCCAAGCTCGCACTCGCGGGTTGGTTGGCGACGCTAGGATGCTGTAATCGCGCCCAATTCGGGAGGCGCGCGTCAATGGTCGGTGGCATTATGCGACTGTCGTGACTGGCTTGTATGTTTTTTGCGCTTTTTTAGCGAAAACTAACAGTACATGTATACCGTACAGACGGAGTACATCATAGTGGATAGTATCGAATTCCGGACTTTAGAGTATTATATGGAGTAAAATGTCACGGACCTAATTGCATACCCGCTGTACCAATTTAGACGATTAGTCATGTGGTTTGCTATTTTGCTAGCAAATGCATGTTTTTCTAGTTTGCTAGGTGTAATGCAAGGTTCCGGAGATAGCTCTTCCAATGCATGGTTTCACGGTTACCTAGTTTGCAGGCAAGTATAGGATACCAAACAGCTGGTTATGCAGTTGGGAATAGGACTGGGACCCCTAGGGCGGAACTGTTGGGGGGGCCCCCCCAGCGCCTGCCGCCCCCCGAATGCCGAACCTCCGGGGATCACGTCGTTGAAGGGGATGGCTAAAAAGCATGCCCCTCTTGATAAAACCCCGTATCCGTGGGTCTGTTGCCGCCGCAACTGTAGGTGGCGACGGAGTCAGTTTTCACGGCGATCTCCGCGTCGTCTAGCGACGTCGTTCGACGAGACTGCGATGGCGTTGGTAACCCGGGGGAGTTGGATAAATATTGTTGAAACAGTACGGTTGAGTGGTATGTAGAAGATACCTGTTGAATGATTTTTTGACCCGTTATACTTTAGAACACCTTGTTGCTTGGTGATGGGCAAATATGATGAGAAGTGTCTGCATGGCCATGATGTTCTTCTACTGGAAACCCAGGGGGGGGTCGAGTATAAAACGGCGTGCCCTATGATTTGCCTCCTTTTACGAATCTGCAATGGGAGTTCTGGGGACTTGGGCACTTAGAAGTTAGGTTCGTCGTTTCGGTGGGTGCATATCCGTCGAAGAGTTTCCGAGGGACCGTTCTCTAGGGGCGCTTCTGTGGGACGTTTCTGTTAGGGTTCAGTGTGGGCGCGTTTCTGTTGGGACGTTTCTGTGGCAGCGTTTTCTGTGAGTGCACGTGTGTGTGAGCGGGATTCTGTGGTAGCGTTTCTGTGGGGGCGCTTCTGTGGGGTCATTTATGCGGAGGCATTTTTGTGGGCACGTTTCCGTGGGCCCGTTTGTGTTGGAACGTTTCTGTGGGTGAGTTTCTGTGGAGGCGCTTCTGTGGAGACGTTTCTGTGGGCGTTAAGTGTTTCTCCGTGTTTTTCTGTTGGAGTGATTCTCTGGAGAGCGCTTCTGTGGAGTCGTTTCCGTGGAGGCGCTACTATGGAGACGTTTCTGTGGGCGTTTAGGGTGGGAGCGTTTCTGTGGGGACGCTTCTGTGGGCGTTTCTGTGGGGACGTTTCTGTGGGCGTTTAGGGTGGGTGCGTATCTGCAGGGTCGTTTCTATGGGGGCGCTTTGGCGGGCGCGCTCCCGCGGGCGCACTCGTGCGGGGTCGTTTTCGCGGGGGGGCGCTCCCGTGGGCGCGCTCCCGCGGGCGGGCTCGTGTGGGGGCGCGCTCCCGCAGGGGCGCTTCCGCGGGCGCGCGCTCCCGCGAGCGCGCTTCGGCAGGCGCGCTCCCGCGGGCGCGCTTCTGCAGGCGCGCTTCCGCGGGCGCACTCCTGCGGGCGCGTTTCTCCGGGGGCGTTTCCGCAGGCGCGCTCCTGCGGGCGCGCTTCTGCGGGCACGTTTGTCCGGGGGCGTTTCTGCGGGTGTGTTTCTGTAAGGGCGTTTCTGTGGGAACGATTTTGTGCGAGCGTTTCTTTGTGTGTTTTTCTGTTGGAGCGATTCTCTGGGAGCGCTTCTGTGGAGTCGTTGTTGTGGAGGCGCTTCTGTGGAGACGTTTTCTGTGGGGGTTTAGGGTGGGAGCGTTTCTGCGGGGATGTTTCTGTGGGAGGGTTTCTGTGGGGGCGTTTTTGTGGGGGTGTTTTTGTGGGGGCGTTTCTGTCACTCGTAGACTTCCTCAGACAGGATCGCGATGGAATTGGATGGCGTTGAAATGTTCGTAGATTGTACGCAGGCGGATGAAGATGAAACGTTCATAACGTGTGCACAGGGTGAAGCAGAGGCGGATGTTGTTGGGGCTTCGTCTGAGGGAAATGACGTAGAAGATCCGATTTGTACACCAGAGAAGCAGGAAGAAAGGGCGCCAAAGATAAAACTAAGAGATGAGGGATTGGCAGATCCTAGGGTGGATCTGACCGGAGAACGACCAGAAGAGGAGGGGGAGGGAGAGGGGTGCGGGCAGCGGGGGGATGAGGGGGAGGAGGAGGAGACAGTTGAAGAGGGCTCTGAATCGGCTGCCCGCGTAGAGGTCCTGCCTCAGCCCGTCAGAAACATGTACGCAAGTAATGCGTACGTGGAGACATTAACTAATAAAAGCTTGGTTCAGCGGGTATCAGTTCCTCTGCTGAAGGTCGAGGCGAAAAGCACTCGACCACAGTACGCCGGGTATTTTCTGGAGTTCAAGAAGTGGGTCGTCAAGTTCTTGAACGAAGTCCGGGATCTGAAGATTCCGGAGGGAGAGCTGCTGGAGGAAGATGACGAGGTCGGCGAGACCCTGGGCAACAATCTGGGGAAAGATTGGTGTAAAGTCCCCCTCTCCGAGATCCATCTGCATGGACCACGCACGACGAAGTGGAGGCTCGAAGCGTATGTCGAGTACATGTTTTGGCTAACCAAGGAGCAGGCCGAAGCTTTGAAAGAGGGTCAGAGGGTCATCGCAGGGAAAGCCCCAAAGAAATGCACGGCGGGCATGATGAAAGCCCGGATGAA